CAGCAGGACCGTACAACCCCCCGCGGCAGGAAGCATGCCACGGGTGCCAGCCCTTTACCTTCTCCCGGGCAGAGATCGCCAGGGTGAAGGGGTTCACACGTGTGCAGTGGTGCAGCAGGACTCCGGCAACCCGCTCGCCCTCCTTCTCAAAGGCAAAGGGCTCGTTCCAGTGCCCTCCACTCCTGTCCTCCTTCGTTCCCATGCCGTTCTGCAGGCTGAACATGATGGACACATCCACGTCCTCATCCCTCCCATTCTCCACCTCCCAGATGAACACTCCCACTGGCAGGCTGGAGTCCTGGCAGAGACAGACAATGCAGGGTGAAGGGATGGTTGTCCGTGGTTAGCTGTTGGAGCATCACTTCTCCCGCTGCTGAGGAGACCACATGGGAGCAAGAGCACCAGCAAAAACTTGGCCTCAGAGTTCATTGCCAAGCTGGGGAGCAGCAGTGGGAGCAGAGGAATTTGGGGGGGACAAGCAATATGAAATTTAGATTATAAGCCCTGGGCTATCAAACCTCACACCGGGCAATGAGCAGACGGAAAGCAGCATTTAAGGCTCAGTTAGGTGTCTCACCACCCACGTGCTCAACAGGTTGACACAGGCTCACGTGCTTCGCTGGGGTGAGAAGAAGGTCAGGCATGTCAGCAGCACAGCCTTCCACCCTCGCCCGGGGCTGGGAGCGAGCAGGAGCAGTGCGGGAATGAGAGGCATCCCTCAGCTTCCGCATTGCTGCGGGGGTTCCTCCTGCCTGGGAGCACTGCTGAGCAAAAACAGGTTGGGAACGTTGGGAAACCCCCACTGGGAAAGCCCAGCTAATAAGCAGATCTTCCCTTAGGGTTGGTAGGCAAAAAACAGCTAAAACATTCTCATGTACACCCAGCTGACAAACCAATCCAGAAGTACGGCTGAGGGTTCCCAAAATTGCTACCACTGGATCCCTCAGGCAGAAAGGCCACAGCTGCAGACCTGCTATTCTGGGTGGACAGGAGATAGGATGGTCACAGGACAAAATCAAAAGCAGGCAACAGGCAGTAGAATCAAAGCACAGGTCAGAGAGGAAAGGAGCAGATGCCAGAGCTAAGCACAAGGACAAAAGGGACAACCCTTCCAGCACCAACTGCCCCAGGAGGGGCAAAGCCTTCCAGGGTCCTTCTGCTGCACACCTTGCAGCTGGCACTAGGGACAGGATCTTAGCACAGAAGAGACCAGGCTGGGAAAGAACATTAGGAAGGTGGCAAGCCTGGCTGCCTTCAGGCAATGCTGAGCTGAGCAGGAGGGACAAGAAGCTGTTCTACTGCAGCATCCTTGGATGCACGGGCAATGCTTAGGGTCAAAACCTCAGCAGCTCCAAGTCTCCACTACCAAAATGGGACACACCAAGCATCATGCAGTCCAGCCTTGTTTCGCTGTGCCAATCTTTTCCCTCCTTCCCCATGCAGCTCTGTCACACCCCTGCCAGCCTGCTCCACACAAGCAGTGTTGCTGCAGTGCAGGGTGGCCCAGTGCTCCCATGCTACAGGCTGCAACCAGCATGGAGCTATCACCTCCTTACCTTATAGTCATGGGGGATGACAGGAGAGACCTGGCGACAAGTGAGCACCACATTTTGCCCCGGGAGCTCATAGACCATCCAGGCACGGGGGTACAGGGCATGGTAGAAGGCATAGTGACCACAGTATCCCCAGTTCCAGCCCTGCAGAGTGCTGGGTCTCTCCACAGACAAGACCTGCTGGTAAATCGTCTGCCCCTTGCAACGCAGGCACACCGTGAACTGGGGAGGAGAGTAGCACATAGAGGGAATGAGATGAGCCCAAGAGCAAATGGCTCAATCGTCCAGGCTGGTGCAGTGCTGCTCACACCCCCCGCAGACCTTGCCACACCTACCTGGTCAGCAATGACTGTTTCATAGTGATAAATGCCAGGGTTCAGCTGCCAGCGACAAAACTCACCCCGCCAGCCACGGGTGATGGTGCCTCCCCCGATCCCGCCCAGCGGGCACCCTGGCGAAGACACCAGAAATTAGCATCCCTGTTCCTTCCCATGGTGGCATCTAGCTCAATGACCCACCATGCAATTCCAAGGGTGCCTTGCTACTGGCCACACCCTAGAAGCTCCCTGACCACTCCCCCATTCCAGCACCTTGATAGCCTCATGTGAATCCCTGCCCACCCAGCACACTGGGCACTGCACCACTCCAGTGCCCAAACTGGAGGCTGACCATAGATCTGCTGCAGAGGAACAGCACACAAGAGGTCAATGAAGGCAGATTTCTTCTCTATGCGAGTCTTCTTGTACCACCACCTGAAGTATCTGCAGGGGAAAGAGAGGTGTGAAAGAAACAGGGGCATGTGTCACTGTCCCTTCAGTGCCACTGGGCAGGTTGTGACCAGGACATGTTGCAGCTGCCCCTTCTGTAGAGAGGTACAATGGGAACCTGTGTTCCAGGGCGCGTGGGGTGGCAAGCCCTTGCTATCCACCTGCAGCATGGTCAGCAGGCAGAGCTCAGGCAGCTCAGGGCTGCCTGCAAGGGCAGTGTGAAAACATAGTATTCCAGTACCCAAGAGCAGGGCTCCCAGCTTGTGCAGGGACATGACACACTTCAGTATGCCTGCAGAGAAATGGGAATGCAGACAAGGACCACCACCACCTCCACGCCGGATAGGGCATGTCCTGCTAAGGAAGGTCTGGGGGACACAAGGCCAGAGAAACCACGTGCTGCTCCAGGAACATGAGCATTGCTCTTCCACCTCCACGTCCCCATTGTCACATGCAGCCCTGCCACATCGGAGAGCCGAGTCCCTGAGGGCAGATAGCACAGGGCAGCCTTGCCCTGGAGGAGGTGATGCTTGCTGTCTGCAGCTGGCAAGATCCCAGGGGCTCACCTCTGCTCACACACCAGCTCTGCAGCCAGGCACTGCCTATCAGATAACCCCTCACCCAAAGGCCTGGGAATTGAGAGACACCCAAACAGGGGCACACCTGCACCTGGGTGTGCCGGCACCACTCTGGGCAAGAGAAGCAAGGCTGGGCTCCAAGTTGGTGCTCGTAAAGGACTGGCTTTTGCTAATGAACCACCTCAAGTTAAATCTTCTATACGGAGACAATTAGCGTACGGAAACGAGCTAGCAGACCAGAAGAAGCTGCTGAACTTCCCCCAGCAAACAGACAGGCAAGACCCAACCCGTGGCTCCACAGCCCTGGATGCCAGGTGGGCAGTGGGGGCATGGCAGTCCCCCTAGTGAGTGACATCCCTGAGCTACTCACAGTGACATACTGCCAAGAGGAGAAACCCAGTCCAGCCAGGAGAACACAGCCTGTCCTGCTCCAGTGGCTCACAGGAGACAGGGGATGGGCAATGGGTGGGCACTAAATCCCTGGGACATGTACCCCCAGGAGCAAGGGGAAGGCTCTTCCATGGCACACCCTGCTCCTACACACTCCCCCCAATAAAAACAACCCACACTTGCCTTTTTGGCTGTGTGGTCTCTGGATGTTCACCTTCATTCACCAACATCTAAGGTGCCCTGATCACTGTCAGGGTGACCTCTTCCAGATTGCAGTCTCACAGGATCTGACTGCAGCCCGTTCTCCATTCCAACATATTCACCTTCACGTTTGACTGTTAAAGGACATTTTGCCTGCAGAGGTCCTGGGCACCACGAAAACCAGCCTGTCCTGCACATCCCCACCCCCCCCAAATAGGCCCCTGCCACTATCTTCAAGCTATATCTGCTGCAACTGCTCTTCTCCAGTTGAGACAGCTCCAGCTTTATGCTGCCGAGGCAAGGCTTTGGCAGCATGCTCACTCTCACAAGGAAATGATTTTTTCTTTTTTTTTTTTTCTTTTAACCCAGCATCAGGGAACGAATCCAGCAGCTTCTCCAGCAGGTTTCTGGTGATGGGAAACAAGGTGCCCAGGCTGAGTGGCTGCAGCACGGCCTGGCAGGGCATCCCAGCTCCTTGGAAAGGAGTTGACAGAGGGATTTCAAAATGCAGTTTTTTCCAGGAGCATGCAGCAAGAGAGGTTATGGATCTAGAGCCAGAAACTGCCCAGGATATTCAGGATATTTTGCCATCTCAGTAGCAAACTATTCCCTGCCAGCTTCTGCCAAAATCACGCAAGCTAAGAGGTGGTTGATGCCCAAATGCTGGCTATTAACAGCTCTGCCAAGGCTGCAGAATATGGAACCAGGAGAAAGTCTTCATGTTCTGCAGCACTAAAAGCTCTGCCAGAGCTGGAGGGCATTTCTTTCCTTTCAAGTTGGCAGTGTAATTAAAACCTGCCCAGACATCACCCAGCCGTTCCAGCTCCATGCCGTGACCTCCTCCCAGGACACACCAGACAACTCCATGGAAACCTGTCTGCACCACTCCTCCTGCCCCACCAGCCCCAGCACCTACTGCAGCCCAACCATTCACACGACCTTCTCTTTCCAGATCTGCAGCTGTGCATGTCCTGATGGAGAAGTTAGCTCAACGAGCCCCCAGTAACAAAAATCCCACCCCAGGGCTGTCAACAGCCCCAGGCATCCCACCTGCAGTAGGTGCTGGTGCTGCAGGAGGGGATACCCATCACCCAGAGGTTTAACTTGGCATGAACTTGTGTCAACCCAGGATGTGTTGGGTCCTCTGCAGGTCCTAGACTTCCTCAACCAAACACATGCAGCAAACCCAGGGTGCTCCCAGCCATCTTGGGAGGTACAAGCACCCGAACCAGGTGACTTTGAACTTGATGCACCAAGACATGTCAGATTTTGAGAGCAGCCCTGGCACCTGTGCCAAGAGAGGGGTGCTGCTCATCACTGGTGATCTGGGAGAGGACACGCCAACCTGTGGAGCTTCAGAGGTTCAATCGAGGCACCATGCCTCAGGACTGAGCTCCAATCTCCTCTTTCAGCACCAGCACCAAGTTTTCCATCAGCTGGCTGCCTCTGCTGGGCAGACACACAGGTGCCCACCCACATCAGAAGCACACAGCCTCACACACATTCCCATAACCCTACATGAGCTGCCCTTCATTGGCCAACACCACTGCCCTCAGGTTTGAATTCAAACCCACACAGATATTTCTGACTACCCTGGCCCTTCTTCTCCTCTGGTCTCTAGGGTCCTGACAGAGCAGCTTTGTCCCGCACCAGTATTTTAAGATGACAACCAAATTACCTCTTAAATTTGTACAGGGGAAGAGGCAGTAGTTTGACTTTCAGCTTCTTGCTTCTGAACCTTACAATCTTTTCCTAGGACCAATACAGGCCACTTCCTTCCTGACACCCCAGTGAGAACAGGTGAGGCAGGAGTGGCCTTCTGAAGCTGGCAGGGAGGTGATCATCTCTCCTTCCTGCTCACCCCACCAGAACTTCATGCTTTCCCACATGCTCAGCTCATTCCCAACCTGTCACAGCAGCTTTTCCAGCAGCCTTTTATCTCCTGTGCATGATCCACACTCTCTCTTCCCTGATGGACAGGTTTGAAACGGGATGTTTGAAGTAAGACCAGCATGCCATGCCCCCCAAAGCAGTCCCCTATCTGCCCCTTTATCAGGTTTTGCAGGAACTAGCTTTGCAAGCAGCAGCCTCCAAGGGCATTGAGCAGGGGAAAAAAAAAAACCAACAAAAAAAAGCTCAGAAAATGGAGGCAGGAGAAATAGTAAAGCAAGCACAAGGAAATAAATCACATCGTCATCTGTTTCAGCGTTCAGCCGGCTGGATACACAAACACCGCCAGCACCCGGGGAGCAGTTCTAAAGGTTAAAGTAACACTGTTGTCTCCTACACACGTTTTTCCTGGTTACTTCCAGCTCGCCCTCACACAAAGCCAGGAGAAACCTCCATACCCAGCACGGCTACAGCGCAGGGCATTTAAAAATCCTCCCGATTAACCTCGAGCTTAATCTCCATCTGCGGAGGGGCGCCTTATGCAAGGGGCCGAGCACCTGGCAACGGCCAGGGAAGGGGCCGCGGTGATGGGCGCCAGC